ACCACGCTAGATATTTTTTAAAGTTATTCCTTTCAGCAAACTCGAGTTCCATTCTTCAGATAAAGAGCCAAGATGGACTGAAATTACATGGTCCTCTCAGAGACTCCCACCCAGAGAGAGGCACAGCGGGGTTGAATGCCCACCTCCCTCTGATGGGCAAGCCCAGCTCCTTCCCCCTTCAGGGACCCCTTAGAGCAGGGCCTTCTCACTATCACTGAGCAAACCTGCCTGAGTGGCAGTGAACAAAACTCACACCTGAATCATGTCTGCTATGACACCCATGTTTGAAAGGAAACCTTCCTCTTCCCCCTTGGAGGAAGTGAGCTCAGTTTTGGGAGAGGCTGGGGTGTGTATCCAGCACTATTCTCAGTAAAGCTACAGTGGTGGCCATGGTAGGAGTGATTTTAAATATTTCACATACAAAAAAAAAAAAAATCTGCTTTAAGAATTGAGAACCAGGAAAAATCGTTCTTCCATGTGAATGGCTGTGTTTCCTTCTCCTGGGGACTGTGGGTGGCTTACCCATGGACTCCTTTGTACTGGAAACCAGTGCCATCCCTGTAAACATGTTAGTGTCCTGTGAGACCCTTTCACAATCTTTTAAAATGATGATTTTTATTTTATTTCCATTATAACAAATTATCGGTTGCATGAATCTTAATCAAAGGTGCTTCTAATTCTCTAAACTAGGTCCAACAATCATAGAAAGAAAGAAAAACGGCCGGGTGCAGTGGCTCAAGCCTGTAATCCCAGCACTTTGGGAGGCCGAGGCAGGTGGATCACAAGGTCAAGAGATTGAGACCATCCTGGTCAACATGGTGAAACCCCATCTCTACTAAAAATACAAAAAATTAGCTGGGCGTGGTGACGCGTGCCTGTAATCCCAGCTACTCAGGAGGCTGAGGCAGGAGAATCGCCTGAACCCAGGAGGCGGAGGTTGCAGTGAGCCGAGATCGCGCCATTGCATTCCAGCCTGGGTAACAAGAGCGAAACTCCGTCTCAAAAAAAAAGAAAAAAGAAAGAAAAACTTTTCTTAGTACTAGCAGTCTGGAGACAGAATTACATATGTTTATTTGTATCAAGTTTTTTCTGCTATTCCAATTCAAAAATAGAATATTAAAAGGAAGTTTTAGATAAACAGAATCATGAACCCATAACAGGAATATATTCATTTTAATATATTCCCCTCCATTATTATCCACTTGCATGAATATTTACCTAAATAATTGTGAGCAAATTTAAAACACCTAATTAGGATCTACTTGATACCATTTAATATTGTAAATGTTACATTTAAAATCTTCACATAGGGCTCACGCCTGTAATCCCAGCACTTTGGGAGGCCGAGGTGGGAGGATCATGAGGTCAGGAGTTCGAGATCAGTCTGACCAACATGGTGAAACTCCGTCTCTGCTAAAAAATACAAAAATTCGCTGGGCATGGTGGTGCACACCTGTGATCCCAGCTACTCAGGAGGCTGAGGCAGGAGAATCACTTGAACCTGGGAGATGGAAGTTGCAGTGAGCCAAGATCGCACCACTGCACTCCAGCCTGGGTGACAGAGTGACATGCCATCTCAAAACAACAACAACAACAAAAAAAAAAATTTCACTTGGGTTCCGAATCATGATTTTTAAGTTGCCTCATATTTCACAAAGTTTGACTTATCACATTTGCAAATTAATTGATTGGCCCCGAAATCACTATATAGCTTACAGTGCTCAATCCCTGTCCCTGGCTTATATCCTTGAGGTTCCCGTGAACACAAAGCCTGCCTCTGGAAGAGTTAGGGTCCCAAGTCTATCATTTTGCTTCTCTGTGTAAATGAAACCATAAATTTGTCCCAAAGCTACTTTGTAGTGGAAGCATAATTTGTTTACCTTTTGCAATCTCTGGCTCTGGGGCTGACTGCTGGCTTCAAACCCCATGCCACTCCCCAGGGGTGTCACTGTGGGCAAGTCACCTAACCTCTGTATGTGTCAGCTCCCACCTGTGTGTTCTAAAACTGGTGAATGAGATTGGTTTTAATCAGGTGTGGTAAGGCATGCAGACACAGCAATGATTGTCATGAAGGAAGAGATTTATACTCACGGATCCCTATAAACAAGGGGCTGGTTCCCCATGCAGGGCCACGTGGAGAGCACCAAGGGCAGTCAGCAGGCAGAAGGAACAGGGAAGCATAGACCTGAACTTTATTGTGTTTTCTGTAAGAAAGGCAGGGCAGAACAGGGTAAACCTTTTAGAATGGGCTAGTTTAAATGGTTCTGGCTGGCTCTGAGGCATAGGGGCTGTCCCTAGTCTGGGTTGATTTAGGCAGGAGGAATATTAACTTGCTGTGTGAGATTTTGGTAAAGGAGATGGTTGGGGGTGTGGGCTCTAGCTTGGTTCCTCTGCATAAAAGGCACTCTCCTGCCAAGCATGGTGCCTTATGCCTGTAATCCCAGCACTTTTGGGGACTGAGGTGGGTGGATTACCTGAGGTCAGGAGTTCAAGACCAGCAGGCCAACATAGTGAAACCCTGTCTTACTAAAAATACAAAAAAATCACCTGGGCATGGTAATGGGCGCCAGTAAGCCCAGCTACAAGGGATGCTGAGGCAGGAGAATCGCTTGAACCTGGGAAGCGGAGGTTGCAGTGAGCCAAGATTGCACCATTGCACTCCAGCCGGGACAATAAGAGTGAAATTCCATCTCAAAAACAAAAACAAAAGGCTGTCTATCCTTTGCTATCAGCTAGGGCTGGGAGGGGAAGTCTCTCCCCACTCAGCAAGATCACAAATGCCACAGCATCAAGAATACAGAAAATTAAAATAGATAATACAATTGGTCCTGTGATGAATGGATCCAGACAAATTCAGAATCTCAGAAAACACAGAGCACCCCGCAAGGCGGCCAGTAATAGGACTCACCTCATCCAGCCTTTGCCAGGATGAAATAGATGAGCCCGGGTAAACCGGTTAGAGGGTGCCTTGCCTGCAGGAGGCTCCATGGAAGCTTTGCAGTTACTTCTCCCCTTGCTTCACCTCCTTCGCTTCCCGAGCTGTGCAGTCCCTCCCTGTCCATCCGACTCTCAGGCTGCCCCTTCTCCTTCCCCATCCCTCTCAGGTTTCCCCAGCTGCCTGCTTTCATCTACACTCTCCTAGATGATGCCCGGCCATTCTCTCACCTGCTTCTTATCTTGTGCTTAGACTATTACGGAGTTACCATTTCACCTCTCTCAATTTTTTACATCTGTTAACTCTTGTGCCTTTAGATTGGTCTTCACCTATTGTTACAATGCGTCTTTCCCTCCCCCTTTCCTGGTAGCACCCCACCCCACCACCCCCAACACACCTTCCCGTTCCTCTATTTCACATTCATTCACTCAATGGGCAATTTGCTTCAGTTCCTTACGTTTGCCTCTTTCTCGTCTGTCCTCTTTACCATTTCGTTCCTATTCTGTCTTCTCTCACAGTCCATTCACGGTGATATTTTCCTATTTGGTTATTTCATGATACTTGTGTTTAAATGCTTTTGAAATCTCCTTTATCTTATTGTTTCTTCTTCTCTTCCCTCGTCATATTTTAGAGTGTTTTATCTCTCAGTCCTCTCCTGATTGCATTAACTCTGCTCCTCTAGAACAGCGTCTGTTCCAGGCTTTCTCTGTTCCAGGCTTTCTCTCTTCCGGTGTCCTTCCGCCGCCCTGGCTCTCTGCGTTATTGGCTTTGAATGGAATATGAATCTTTTCCCGTTGTATTTCTCTCACCCGTCCCTCTTCACACACCCCTCGTCTCGCCTTTCCCCACGTCCCCCCTCTAGGTGCTGCTTGCTCTTTGCTTTTCCTTTTTACTTCCTCACCGTTTCCATTTCTACTTTCCTCTCTCTTACTGCTGCGTCATAAATGGGACTCCTGACAACCACTCCCGTGTGTCCGCAGGGAGGCGGCAGTTTTAAGAAGGGCTGGCCGCTGAGCCTCACAGAGGGACCCCCGTCTCATGCTGCAGCGAAGTACCACAGACCGGGTGGCTTACAGACAACGCATTTATTTCTCACGATTTTGGAGGCGAGAAGTCCAAGATCCAGCTGGCAGCGTGGCCAGGTTCTGGTGCAGGCCTTCTTCCAGATTGCAGCTGCCACCTTCTCCAGGTCGCCACAGGATGTAAACGGGGCTGGAGTGCTCTCGGGGTCTCTTTTACAAGGGCACTGATCCCATCATGAGGACTCCGCCTGTGACCCACTTTTCTCTCAAACCCCCCACCTCCAATCACACTGAGGGGTACGATCTCAGCATTGGAATTTTTGGAGGACACACTCAGCCCATGCCACAGTCTTCAGAAGAATCCCAGAATGACTTGTCAGGTTCCTGGGAGATCCGTAACTGTGGGAAAGCGTCACATCCCAGGGAAGGCCACCGGCTGGGACAGTAGTCCCTGACAAGGCCTCTCCCTTCACACTGACCTCTGTGGAGAAGTCGGCTCGGCACGTGCTTTCTCTTCCCCTCTAAGGTTAAATGCTAGAAGGTGGAAACCCAGAGGCCATGCTGGCACTGAGAGATGAGCCCCACTCACCAGATTCAAGGTCCCAAGGTAGGCAGACACCGGGCAAGCAGACTCCCATTCCGGGAGTTTGGAACTTAACTAGAGCCATAGAGACGCTCAGACCTGATCCAAGTGAGTGCACTCAGTGACATTTCCTAGAGGGTCCTGACACCTTCATCTGCACCTGGGGCTGCCCCAGGTTCTGCGCTGCCAGTCACAGTGCACAGGTGCTGCTGAGCGCCTCTAAACCATCAATTGACAAGTGAGCTGAGGTAGGGATGCCACCAGCTGTGTGGACCTGGCCCAGGGGAGAGGCCGGGGTGGAGGTCAGCCCGGGAGTCTGCACACCTGCAGCTTGTCTCCACCGCACGCAGATGGGCACAAGTGAAAACCTTGACAGGTGCTGCCCACGTTGGCCAAGCCTTCAAATTCAGAGCCACCCGGAGGGGAGAAAGGAGAGTGGGTGTGGGTCCAGGCGTGGAGAATGGAGGTCCGATTGCCCGACTTAGCTTTGAAGCGGATCTTCTCTTTCTTGGACGTATTCAGCTTGCTGCAGGTTTCCCAGGTGAACAAGGTAAAGGCCTTCACCTCCCACTGCCCCCGACGCCCGCTGCCTCTCCCCACCAGTTTGACTACACTGCAGAATAGCAGGAGGATACACGGAGGGTGTGGGGTTAGCATCCTTCACTCTGATGGCCTCACATTCTGTTAAACAAGAAGGACAAGCTGACAGCCAGGAACTGCGCTGACTCAACAGTCTTGAGGCTCCCATTTCAAGCCCTAGGAAGTCAGCACTTCTTCCTCTGAACTCATGGGAAAGCACGCGCCTGTATTAGCAGTGACAGGTCTCTTGTTCCCGTTTCCTCATCTCCACTCACTGGGAGGGCTTTGCGAGCTGGAATCCCATCTGAGTAACCCGTGCGGGGCCGGCTCCCGGAACAAATAAGAGCAGAGCATTGCCTCTGCTCCCTGATGTAACTGATTGCCTGCTGGTCTCTGCCTTTCTCTCCATAGGATTGGAATAGGGTTGCAGACAGCAATTACCTGTGGAGGTGAGTCATGGAAGGGTAACGAGGGAAGGGGAGAGGAAAGCGTCTGGCTGTACCCACGCTGTGTACCGAGGCCTGTGCGTGGCTGTGTTGTGAGGGGCACACAGGAAAGTGAGTGTGAGTAGGGGGTTGTGATGTCACCAGGGCTGTGAGGAGGTGAACTGACTGAGCACAGCCTGATGGGATTGTGACTGTTTCCAGGGCACACTCTCTGCAGAGATGGGACTGCAGCAACGTCACCGATCAACACCTGGGCGCATACACGTGGAAGCAATTTTTCCTGCACCAAAGAAGGAAGGAGCTTCGGTTGTCATTGGCACAGCCGGATAACTTTACCTACAAAATAACTAAGAACACTGGTATGGGGACAGGTGCCCTAGACAAACATGAGCAACTTGTTTTCAGAAGTCCACTCTATTGGATTTTTGCTGTGTGAAGTTGTGTGTTCTCATTCAGTGAAGGGAAAGGGAATTGGAATTGAATCAGACTGGGCTGCCATGATAGCCACGTGACAGCTCCCTGCTTCCTCTCCTGTCCCCACTGTCTCTGCTGAATCAAGAACCTAGAGAGATTTAGTCACAACATAAAATCAGGTCCTGTTATCCCCTTTTTCCTAAGGCTTCCCATCCCTCCCAGAATAAAAATCAGAAACAAATATTAATGCGAAACTCTTTAAAAAACAGGCTTGGCTGAGCACAGTGACTCATGCCTGTAATCCCAGAACTTTGAGAGGCCAAGGTGGGCAGATTGCTTGAGCCTAGGAGTTCCAGACCAGCCTGGGCAACAAAGTGAGACCCCCATTGCTATACAAAATTTCCAAACATTAGCCTGGGTGACAGAGCCAGAACCTGTCTAAATGAATACGTCTATACAGAGGCTCTACTTCTGTAGCCTCAACCTCCTTGGCTCAAGAGATCCTCCTGCCTCAGCCTCCTATGTAGCTGGGACTACAGGGGCATACGACCACACCCAGCCAACTTTTTATTTTTTTTAAGGTGGAGTCTTGCTCTGTTCTCTAGGCTAGAGTACAATGGCACCATCTTGGCTTATGGCCCACTCTGTCTCCCGGGTTCAAGCAATCATCCTGCCTCAGCCTCCTGAGTAGCTGGGACTACAGGTGTGCACCACCATGCCTGGCTAATTTTTGTACTTTTAGTAGAGATGGGGTTTCACCACGTTGGCCAGTCTGGTCTCGAACTCCTGACCTCAAGTGATCCACCTGTCTTAGCCTCCCAAAGTGCTGGGATTACAGGCATGAGCCATCATGCCTGGTCATAACTTTTTGATTTTTTGTGGAGATTACGACTGTCTTTGTTACCCAAACTGGTCTTGAACTCCTGAGCTCAAGTGATCCTCCTGCCTTGGCCTTCCAGGCATGAGCCACTGTGCCTGGCCTAATCCTGATAACACTTTTTTTTTTTTTTTTATGACGAAGTCTCATTTTGTCACCATGCTAGAGTATAGCAGCATGATCTTGACTCATTGTAACCTGTTCCTCCTGGGTTCAAGCAATTTTTGTGCCTCCCAGGAAGCTGAGGTTACAGGCACCTGCCATCATGCCAGCCAATTTTTGTATTTTTAGTAGAGTCAGGGTTTCACCATGTTGCCCAGGCTGGTCTCAAACTCCTGGCCTCAAGTGATCCATCTGCCTCAGCTTCCCAAAGTGCTGAGATTACAGGTGTGAGCCAGTGTGCCTGGACAGCATAATTCTCTTAGAACTCAGAAAAGGTCTCTGAGCTCTGAAAAGTTTTTTTTTGTTTTTGTTTTTGTTTTTGTTTTTGTTTTCGAGACACAGTTTGGCTCTTATTGTCCCTGCTGGAGTACACTGGCACAATCTCGGCACGCCACAACCTCCGCCTCCTGGGTTCAAACGATTCTCCTGCCTCAGCCTCTCGAGTAGCTAGGATTACAGGCATGCACCACCATGCCTGGCTCATTTTGTGTTTTTAGTAGAGACAGGGTTTCTCCGTGTTGGTCAGGCTGGTCTCTAACTCCCTACCTCAGGTGATACACCCACCTCAGCCTCCTAGAGTGCTGGGATTACAGGTGTGAGCCATCATGCCCAGCCTGACAGAGAAGTTTTAATATGCACTTTATATCTGTGGAAACTGAGGATAAAAAGAAAAAGCAGGTTGGCCAACATCTCCTAAATGGCCAGTCTGCCATGGAAACCTGTGTTAGGTTGACTCTGGAGCCCCATTTCTATCGTCTCCATGTTGCTACCCAAACCCTCCGAAGAGGGCACAGAAATACTTAAAATTATCTTCATTGGATTCGGATCATCCTTTATCTGTTGGCCAAGTCTTCTGTGTTTCTTTCTAGCCTTTGAAACGGGTTTGGCTTATCTCTCCGGAAATAGCTTTACAATGGATGAACAGGAGAAGTCAATCATTTGTAGTGTCTCCCGAAAGAAAGAGCTTTGTGCCTGGGATGTGCAAGAGGTGAGTCTGGCCAATATGTAGCAAAAGTGCTGCATCCTGGCGTCCGTCCTGTTCCATATATGACATGGAAGTGCCCAGAGGAAAATGCTCGGAAGTGGAACAAAAACCATGTTTCAAATCAGGTTTTCTATGTTGTAATTTGTGCCCTTTCACTTGGACCAGAGGCACAGAGGACTCACAGAGGACTATTTCTTTCTTTTTTCTTTCTTTCTTTCTTTTTTTTCTTTTTTCTTTTTTTTTTTTTTTTTTTTTTGCAGACAGAGTCTTACTTTACTGCCCAGGCTGGAGTGCAGTGGCTGGATCTCAGCTCACTGCAACCACCACCTCCGGGGTTCAAGCAATTCTTGTGCCTCAGCCTCCTGAGAAGCTGGGATTACAGGCACACACCACCATGCCCAGCTAATTTTTGTATTTTTGGTATAAACAGGGTATCATCATGTTGGCCAGGCTGTTCTGCAACTTCTGGCCTCAAGTGATTTGCCAACCTCAGCCTCCCAAAGTGCTGGGATTACAGACATGAGCCATCGCGCTCAGCTGAAAATACTTTTTAACATATGTTTCTATTGATAAATTTTTAAAGGAATTATTTTGTACCAGTAACACGAGTGCATTTGTGGAATAATTTCGGGTTTGTGCATGTTTATCACCTGTTCTATTGCCTCTTTGTCGATGACTGGCATTTGTGGCATTGGCTTTTTCAGAACGTGGTCTCTATCTCAGATCACCTCCAAGGCGCACAAAGGATTTATCTCAAAAACTGAGTGTGGCTTTGTCTAGTGGTGTAAAGTGCAGTGAGGTTCTTGGGAGACCCACAAAGTTTTTGTTAAAGAGAATTACACTGGCAGAAACACTGCCAGCTTGGATGTAAAGGGGCCAAAACAACACAAAAGGGAAAGAGGCCTTTGGGATTTCAAAACTTTTACAGGCAGGAAGCAGACGACCAAAACAATTTAGCTAAAAACTCGGGCCGCCATCTATAGAAAGTGAAGGATGACTCAGAATCAAGAGCCCACAGAGTGGAACCAAGAGTCATGAAAATTCTTTCTTGGGCCTTGAGTGCCAGTCCACAAACTGCCAGCATGTTCTCTGTCAGATTTCAGAATGTCTTGTAGCAGGGATCCCTGTGTTGACATTTTCACCTTTTCTGAATGACAGTGACTATGTTACCTATGCTTACCCCGCACTTGTACTTTGGGGATGGTGAGGGACAGATAACGTGTATAACTAGTTTGAAGATTTTCACATCAAGAGAGACTGAATCTAAAGAGGCTCATCTATACCTGGACCTAGAAACAACGAGATCCTCGATTTTGCAATGATACTATAATGGTTTGAGACATTTGAGGGCATTGGGAGATGGTGAATGTATTTTCACACGGGGGAAAGTGAATCATTGGAGGCTATGGAGCAGACTATGGCTGCCAGTCTCTGAGATGGCCCTGATGCCTTTGCCCCAGAACCATCACGATCGATCTTGTGTAGCCAATGGCCGCAGTGAATAAGGCTGACCTGTGGGACCAATAGGATATTGTGGAAATTATGGAGTCTAATTTCTGAAGCTATGTCACAGAAGGCAGGTCTTCACTCATGGATCCTTAGCTCTTGGAAGTCCAGCCACAGTGTTATGAGAGCTCTCAGCAGCCCTCCAGAGAGATCCATGTGGTGAGGGACTGGGGACCGCTGCCAGCAGCCAGCTCCAACTGACACAGCTGGATGAAGGAGCCATCTTGGAAGTGAAGTTGGACTTAACTCTCATGAGAGACCTGCAGCCAGACTCCCCAGTCAAGCTGCACCTGAATTTCTGATCAGAAGAAACTGTGAGATAGCAAAAGCCTGTTTTAAGCCACTAAATGTTGGGATGCTTGGTTTCATGACCATAGATGTGACTGCACAGGCAACTTGTTATACTGTGAGGAATCAAAATAGTGATGACATTTGAGCGTGAGGGAGTTGTGAATAGAGCCCATGAGGCGGGGACCCTGGGAGGGCTTAGAAGTGGTGCCTTAGTATTCACTTGTGATAATTTAGCAAACTTCATGCTCTTTTCCTGTGTGATATACTTCCCAATTTGTTTAAAAGGCTAAAGAATCATCTAGAAAGACAACTATTCTATCTTGTGTGTAATGTACAAAGTTGATGAAGGAATAACAATTGTCATGATAGTTAATATGTTTTGGGTTCCTACTGTGTCCTAGGGAGAATTCTAAGTATGTTTCATGAGTTGTGAAAGTAGGTATAAGAGTTTCTGGTACACAGATCATGTTCCTCTCATTCTCTAGGGCACCATGGTCTGGTCAAGCCCAGTCCAGAAATTCCAGTTCTCAAATCTGGTAACCCTCCCTCAGATGCATCTCGTCATCACTGAGGATATGAGCAATACAGTCAAAGTGTGGAATTGTCAGGACAGGGATCCTCTGGCCGCTCTCCCCATGCCAGCATTCTCTTATTGCATGGAAGCCTGTCTCACAAAGGATGGCCCATTCCTGATGGTAAGTGAGCCCTGAATTTAGACGGGATGGAAAAAATCAAATGCCCACTGTCTTGACAGGCATCCGTGTCACATTGCTGTCCTATCCCTAGTGCTTTTCTTTTTTTGGAGATGGAGTCTCACTCTGTCACCCGGGCTGGAGTGTAGTGGCACAATCTCGGCTCATGGTAACATCTGCCTCCCAGGTTCAAGCAATTCGCCTGCCTCAGGCTCCCAAATGCCTGAGACTACAGGCACAAGCCACCATACCTGGCTAATTTTTTATGTTTTTAGTGCAGAAGGGCTTTCACCATGCTGGATAGGCTGGTCTCAAACTCGTGACCTTGTCATCTGCCTGCCTTAGCCTCACAAAGTGCTGGGGAGGCACCGAACCTGGCCTAGTTCTCTTTTGTAGTCATTCCTTCTACATACCTTGTGAGTCAATCACAATTTGCCAGTGAATGTTGTAATACAAACCTCCATGCTATTTTGGCCCTTGACCCGCCTCAAGTACATTTCCCCAGCCATTCTTCTAAAAACAACAAGCCAGGAACTTCCTGAATTACTTTATATGTGCCTCTTCTCTCAAGTGTGTTGTTTACAATCCATGAACTTGGTCAGGGACAGTCGAGGGGGAGAGATGGCTTTGGGTGACATTGAGAAAAAGTATAGCGTTTATGTGCTAATGAATAAGTGTTCTTGAGAAGAATGCTCTGGGGCTTGGAACGTTTTATTCCATGGGATTATCCCAACAATGTCTCACACTAGACTGGTCAGAGGTTGGATCTCCGTTCTGTGACTGAAGAAACGGTGGCAGGTCTTGCAGCTGACAGTGCCGCCTCCTTTGTACTTCAGGATTTCACATATCTTCCTATTGATGTGGTGGGGATGCTTTGGTTTCAGGTTGGCGACACTGCAGGTGACATCTACACATTTACACTGCCTGAGTTAAGAGAAGTTTCTAAAGTTACTGCATTTCAATGTGCTATTGTACTTCTACGCTGCTCTCCTGACAAGAAATGGGTGTTTGCATGTGGGACATATACTCGTAGCTTTCCACAGGTAGGTGCTGTTGTGTGTATTCCAACTTCAGGTTGGGCATGTCAAGTTAGGAAGCATGCAGAGAAACTGCAGAGCTCAGTGAGGCCTGGGCACACTGCTCCTTCCTCGCTAAGACCACATCACAAGAGGAATCCATTGTGATAGCCAGGAAGCAATGCTCTTTGAAGCAACAGCATCCAGTTGCCATGGCCAGTGTTAACGAAAACTTGTTCATGAAGCCCAGATTTGCCACAGAGATGGAGGAAGGCGAGACAGGTATCAAGAAACAGGGATTGCTGGGCATGGTGACATGCACCTATACTCCCACCTACTCAGAAGGTGGAGGTGGGAAGATCGCTTGAGCCCAGGAGTTCTAGTCTGTAGTGTGCTATGCTGATAGGGTGTCCACACTAAGTCCGGCATCAGTATATTACCTCCTGGGAGCAGGGGACCACCAGGTTGCATAAGGAGGGGTCAGCTGGCCCAGGTGAGAAACAGAACAGGTCAAAACTCCCATGCTCATCAGTATTAGGACTGCACCTGTCAATAGCCACTGCACTCTAGCCTGGGCAACATGGTGAGACCCTGCCTGTAAAAAAATTTTTTTTTTTTACAAAGAGATCGTTGACCTTGTTCTCTTTGGCCTTCTTGACTTTACTTTTATCTCTGTTGGCTGGAAAGTATAGAGAAGTCCAAAAGCAAGTGACTCTGCATCAGCCCCTGAATGTCACTCTGAGGAGGCCTTTGGCCTTTGAGCAGGCCATTTGTAGGGTGGCACCGGTGGACTGGGCACCAAAGAGGGAGGAATTCAGAAGGTGGGTAGTAAAAGACGCACAGCCCTTGACTTGTTCCCCAAAAGGGAAAATCTGCTTAGCCAGCCTCAGCATGACCAAGGGTTCAACATGGCAAGATGGTTTTGTAACCCCTTGGCATGCTTCAGGGACATTGTTCTGTGAACAGGACAGGAAGGTTAGGAAGACAGTGAGTTCCTTGTATGTTGGAGTGACAAGCAGTGACCATTCATCACTCCTGAGAGGTTGAACAAAGCTTTGGCCACAGGATGAGGATTTCTGAGAAGGCTCCTCCGGAGTCACTCCTGTACTGAGAGGCTGTAAGTTCCCTGCCCCTGACCTCGCACGTGATGCTGGCTTTAGGTATTCTTTGCAGAGGACTTACTGAGACCATCAGAAAGCAGCGCTCCTCTGTCTACCTTTCTCCCGCATAAATTCTGCACCACCGCCTGCTGGAACCCAAAGAAGAAAAACAGGATTACACTGATGTCCCAATCTAGAAAAAAGACAGAAATTATCACCTTTGATCTAACAACCAAGAGGAACGGAGACCGAACAGTCGTCCAAGGTAGGCTGTGCCACATTAGAAACACTTGTTTCTCCTCCTCATCACACAGGCATTCATGTGAAGCTATAAATGCATGTAAATGGTCAGTCTGTGTAGAGGGATCAGGGGATTTCTTTAGCTGGGGGTGAATCCACCCCTGTTTGACTCCAATACCCATGCTCATCTCTACCCCTCACCCTGCCCTCTTGGGCAAACATATAGAGATTTCCGTCATGTTTCAGGGCCTTGGGTTCCAATGGTCCTTCCCACTACACGTTTTGCCTCAAGGCCCAAGTGAATGTTTATTGTCCACAAACTTCTGATCCTGTGTGCTAGCACCTGTTACCACAGTTTGTGACATGTATTTGTCAGGCCGCTGGACTAACCTTCATTTTCCTCCCTGGCATGAAGTCTGCAGAAGTGGGGATCATGCTTTTTAATTCGGTGTAAGGATAGTGTTCTGATTCAATGATCTGATCTTCACTTCCTTGTGTGTTTTACATGAAAACAGCATATGAGATCTCAAGTTTCCAGTTGGCACCTCATCTGGAGCACCCTACCTGGATAGGAGCCAGCGATGGATATCTGGTTGTCTTTCCCAGTGGTCCTTACTTGCTCCTCTTCAGCATCACTGGCTTCCTGCTGCAACGATTTCAGGACCACCAGACACCCATCGACAACTTCTGGGTGGTATGTATGATTCTCCTCCACTGCTTTTTGGTCTGACTTTGACTCCTTGGCCACTAACTCTGGCTATCCTTGGAAGGATGCTCTCTATGTGCTCACCACATCTGCTGACTCTGTGCACCTGTACCTGTGGGAAGAGGGAGGCTGCCCTCCATACCTCAGGAGCTGCTGTCACCTGGACAATACATGGCGTGATCACGTACCACATGGGTAAGCTCTGCTTTGTGACTTAAACATCCCCTGAAAACATTTATTTTTATTAGACGGACTATTGCCCTGTCACCAGGCTGTTGTGCAGTGGTGCGATCTCAGCTCACTGCCACCTCCGACTCCCTGGTTCAAGCAATTCTCCTGCCTCAGCCTCCTGAGTAGCTGGGATTACAGGCATGCGCCATGACACCCAGCTAATTTTCGTATTTTTAGTAGAGATGGGGTTTCACCACGTTGGCCATAATGGTGTGGATCTCCTGACCTCAGGATCTGCACACCTTGGCCTTTCAAAGGGCTGAGATTACAGGTGTGAACCACTGCACCTGGCCAAAGAGTTCTAATTTCTACATCAAAATAAATGAAAGGAGAACAGGGATTTTATTTTTTTAATATTCTTTGATGATAGTCATCAATAAACTCATGCCTGAAAAAGAATCGCTAGTGTTCTTGAAGTCATGGCACTTGCAATAGAGGTATAAAGTCTTCCCAAGGAAGCTTTCAATTTATATTCCCATAAGCAGTGGACAGATTCTGTCCTCAATACCCTGTCTTTACTTGCTGAGTTACACCTTTTGCAAGTTCATAGGTCACTTGGTTGCTGTTTCAGTGAGCTGCTTTTCTCTTCATTTTGCTCATTTTTGTCCCAGGTTTGCTTGTTTGTAAATTATTTTTCTTGACATTTCATGTAGTACATGTAGAAGTCTTGTTTCTTAAGGCTTTACAGACATTTTCTTCCAGATTATTGCTCGTCATCATAATGCTTATAGTGCTTTTTTGGCAACATCTAAGAAAAGACAGATATCCTTTGCACTGCCAATGCCACTAAAAAGAATTCACTGTGAAGGTTTATCTCCAATGATTCAAGTACATTGGCTGTTCACTACAGCATTGGTGACAGTCGAGAGCTGAAGCTCCCTAACTGCCCAAACATGAGATTGCTTACATTACCGTCGCGTATCCACACAAGGAAGTATCATGCAGCTGCTATTAACTTTTTTAAAAGATTAGGAGAATGTCTATGTTCAGATAAGTTTTTTCCAGTGTTTTGAGGCAAAAATAAGTATCTGTAATCATGCTTAGTTGACTTTCATGGTTTTTGCTCTCTGTATCATATCTAATAAATCTTAACCTACAGCAATCGTAAATACTTATTTCCTTTCAGTAATTTCAGATACTTCCCTGGATTTGTTTTCTCTCTTCCATTTGAATGGGTGTGTGCTGTTACCTCACTGTGATATTTACCATGCCCTTTTCCAATGACATTGAGCAATGTTTTATTTCTCATCCACATATCTTCTTTGACGCATCTGTTCAAATCTTTTGACCTATTTTTTAATTGGGTTGTTAATAGTGAATTTCTTAATATTGAGTTTTGATAGTGGTTTATATATTTGGTATACGAGTCTTTTATCTGATAAGGATTTGCAAATCGTTTCTCCCGCTCTGGTTTGTCTTTCTATTCTCTTCACAGTGTCTTTCAAAGAGCAAGTGTTAACTTTGAAGTACAATTTTTCTTCTAAAATGACTGGCTTGGGGATTGTATCTGTGAAATCTTTGCCTAATCCAAGATCACAGAGATGTTCTAAGATTTCCTCTAAAAGTTTTATAGTTTTGGGTTTCATATGTATGTCCCTGATGCATTTTGAGTTAAATTTTATAAGGGGAAGAGAAACATCAAGGTGTATTTTTTGCATGTCAATATTCACCGCTTTGGCACCATTTGTTGAAAAAACTCGTCCTTCTCCGTTGAATCGCCTGTGTACCTTTGACTTAAATCGACCATATTTACATGGGTTGATTTTCAGACTTTCTCTTTTGTTCCAATCATCTGTATATGTATCTTTTATCAAATAACACATTACATTGAAAATGTGACTTTATAGAAACTTTGAAATCAGATAACGTGCGTCTTCTAATTTGTTCTTTTGCAAAATTATTCAGACTATTCTGATTCCCTTGTTTTCTAAGTGAATTTTAGAATCGGTTTGTAAATTGTTATAAAAATTCTGCTGAGATTTATATTGAAATTTGTTTTGATCTAGAGAGTAATTAGAAGGAAATCAGCATCTTTACTATTTTGGCTCTTTAAATACATGAACCTAAATGTCTCTTACTGTTTCTAGGCCGTCTTTAATTTACTTTATCAGTGTTTTTGTAGTTTTTAGGATAAAGATATTGCACATATTTGTAAAATTTATACCTAAATATTTCATGTTATTGGTGCTATTATAAAGGGTACTGTCTTATTTCAATTTCCATTTTTCATTACTAGTATATAGAGATATGACTGACTTTTGTATATTGACCTTGTATCCTGCAACTTTGCTAAACTCATTTATTCTAATAGCTTTTACTCATAGATTGGTAGATAGATCCTTTGTGCTTTCTCTATGTAGACAATCACATCATCTGTCCGTACAGTTTTCTTTCCTTTTGTTTTTTTAGATGAAGCCTCCCTCTGTCACCAAGGCTGGGTGAAGTGGCACAATCTTGGCTCACTGTAACGTCTGCCTCCTGGGTTCAGGCAATTCTCTGCCTCAGCCTCACTAGTAGTGGGATTACAGGTGCATGCCACCATGCCTGGCTAATTTTTTTGTATTTTTAGTAGAGACGGGGTTTCACCATCTTGGCCAGGCTGGTCGTGAACTCCTCACCTCATGATCCACCCACCTTGGCCTCCAAAGAGCTGGGATTACAGGTATGAGCCACCACACCCAGCCTTTTTCTTTTCAAATTTATGCCTTCTTGTTCTTCCCTTATTGCACTGGCTATAACCTCCTGTGTGGCATTGGAGTGGAGAGCCAATATCCTTGCATTGGATGAAAAGTGTTTGATCTTTCACCATTATTATTATATTCACTGTATGTTTTTGTAGATGTTCCTTACTGGATTGAGGATGTTCTCTTCTAGTTCTAGATGTCTGAGAGGTTTTTTAAAAAAATGAATAGATGTTGAATTTTCTCAAAGGCATTTTCTGCACAAATTGATATGAGCATACGGTTTTTCTTTTATAGATTCTTAGTAAGGTGAATCGGCCGGGCGCGGTGGCTCACGCCTGTAATCCCAGCACTTTGGGAGGCCGAGGCGGGTGGATCACGAGGTCAAGAGATCGAGACCATCCTGGTCAACATGGTGAAACCCCGTCTCTACTAAAAATACTAAAAATTAGCTGGGCATGGTGGTGCGTGCCTGTAATCCCAGCTACTCAGGAGGCTGAGGCAGGAGAATTGCCTGAACCCAGGAGGCGGAGGTTGTGGTGAGCCGAGATCGCGCCATTGCACTCCAGCCTGGGCAACAAGAGCGAAACTCCGTCTCAAAAAAAAAAATAAAAAAATAAAAAATTAAAAAAATAAAAAAATAAAAAAAAGTAAGGTGAATTATAATGATTTTTGTTAGTGGTCAGGACGGAGTGTCTTATTAATCTTTAACAAATAATTATATATTCATGGGGTACAATGTGATGTCTTAGATGTATATATTGTAGAATGATTAAATCAAACTAATACATCAATTGCTTCATATGCTTATTTTTGTGGTAAAAATACTTAAAATCTACTCTCAGCAACTTTGTAAATATGATACGCTATTAGGAACCACAGTCACCATGCCGTGCCGCAGATCTCTGAAACTGATTCCTCCTGTCTAACGGAAACGCTGGGCCCTTTGGCCAACATCTCCTTGTTCCCTCTCCCTCCCGGCCTCTGTTAACCACCATTCTACTCTCTGCTTCTGTGAGTTCAATTTTTTTTTCTTTTTTGAAGAGTCACACGTAAGTGGGATGATGCAGTATTTGTCTTTCTGTGCTTGGCTTAGTTCACTGAACATCGTGACCTCCAGCTTCATCCATGCTGTTGCACGTGACAACATTCCCTTCTTTTTTTTTTTTTTTTTTTTTTTGAGACGGAGTTTCGCTCTTGTTACCCAGGCTGGAGTGCAATGGCGCAATCTTGGCTCACCGCAACCTCCGCCTCCTGGGTTCAGGCAATTCTCCTGCCTCAGCCTCCTGAGTAGCTGGGATTACAGGCACGTGCCACCACGCCCAGCTAATTTTTTGTATTTTTAGTAGAGACGGGGTTTCACCATGTTGACCAGGATGGTCTCTATCTCTTGACCTCGTGATCCACCCGCCTCGGCCTCCCAAAGTGCTGGGATTACAGGCTTGAGCCACCGCGCCCGGCTCTTTTTTAAGGCTAAATGGCATTCCATTCTTTGGGGGGGGGGGGTGTGGGTGTGGGGGTGTGTGTCTGTGTGTGTGTCTGTGTGGGGGTGGGTGTGGATGTCTGTGTGTGTGTCTATGTGTGTGGGTGTGTGTGTGCATATATACCACATTTTATCCATTCATCCATCATGTACCCTTGGGTAGTTCCATAATCTTCGCTATTGTGAATAATGCTAAAGTGAACATGGGAGTAATGAGAGTGCAGATGTCTCTTCAACATACTGATTTCAGTTCCTTTGGATGTATACCCAGAAGTGGGATTGCTGTACCATATGATAATCCTATTTTTAGTGTTTTGAGGAAATTTCATGTTGGTTTTTCCATAGTGGCTAGACTAATTTACATTCCCACCTACAATGTACATGGGTTCCCTTTTCTTCACATCCTCATCAACACTTGTGTATCTTTCATCTTTTGGACCATAACCATTCTAACACCTCTAATGAGGTGGTATCTGATTGCATTTTTAATCTGGATTTCCCTGATAATTCATAATGTTAAGCATTTTTTTCCACATACCTGTTGGCTATTTTATGTCTTCTGTGGAAAATTGGCAATGAAGAAACTTTGTCCTTTTTTGTATGGTGGTTTGCTTGCTATTGAGTTAGAGTTTTTACGTATTTTGGATATTAACCCTTAGCAGATGTACAATTTGCAAATATTTTCTCCCATTCCATAGGTTGTCTCTTTGTTCTGTCTTCTTTCCTGTGCAGAAACTAGGTTGATGCAGTCCCATTTACCTATTTTTGCTTTTGCCTGTGCATTTGGGGTAATATCTGAA